GATAAACTAACACAGGTGTTTTGAGCTCCCAGGTAGTAATGTTTGATGGTAATCCAATAGTAATCTTTAAATGATACGAAAAAAGAAAGGAACTCATTTTTAATGGTATGAAGGTGGGTGTCAAGGGGTTATCTTAATTGTTCAAAAAGGTTCTCTTTATAATTGTTAAGTGTAGTTAGTGGCACGCATTCCTTTGTAGAAGCTAATTTAAACTTCTATCCAGTATTAGCTTTCGAAATTTCATTTAGAGTTTGGATTGCAATTGTAACTAAATGGAAACAGCGATTTTATGTGATGTTTCTGAGCAAAGTAGCTAACTATAGGAACGCAGCCAAAACAGAAACTTGCAGTACAGTTGGCTCGTTTTAAATTTTTTGAGATAGTGACAGTGTTACAACCCTGTACATGGTATCCTGTACTTCCTTACATATTTAGTAAATTATCAGCGATTGAAATTCAATCTATAGTGATCCTACTTCGTGTATTGCCTTCAGAGCGTGATCACAGCGCATGCGACACTACAACTGAAGATCACAAAATGTTACGAAACAAATCCAATGAAACATGCATTCTTGGAAAGTGACCATATGTTTATATTGTAATAATTCACGTAGATGCTAGTGCATGTTAAAATCTTTATGGTGAAAACCACTTGAACCTGGAGGTATAGTGCAAACAGAGCCCACGAGGTAGAGGAGATGTAAGTAGAATTAGGCACGCTGTATTTTTATCCCTCTCTTCACGTGAGTAGATTCACGGACACGTCAGAGGTGCTTTCAAAATCTTTTGAAAGTTTTCTGGGATCACTGAGGCTACGTCCACTCATTAGAAAGAGATCATTCGATTTATCGACATGGCTTTGAGCCACAAGCCCCATGAGCTTAGGGTCAGGCTGCAGATGTTGCTATGAGATGAGCTGCGAGTCCCATTTGTTGTTTTACTGAATGCTCTTATGTAATTTTATCTCGTGAAATCCTTGTTTTATCATCATGATAGTAAATTGAGTTCGCATTGCCTGAAGAGAAAATTATTGTATTTCATTTAATTCAGTCTTTATTTATTTAACGTAAACTGATGTATCTGACATAAATTGTTTAATTAAAAACTGCATCTCACGTATGGGAGAGAAGTATAGTCTGTGAAAAATTTTATATGCTCCAGAATATTTTAACCTTGTTACTAGTTGAAATACGAACAAAAGCTCAGTGATGAAATGATTCATTATAAAATGGACAATAATAAATTATTTCATAAATAAGAAACATGCATAATAAAAATAATGAATTAATTCAAATCTTTTAATATATCACTTCAAATTTCTTCCTTCCAATTTTTATATTGTTCATTAAGCACTGGGTAAATTCAAGAAAGAATAATTTCCTACACAATATTATTTCTAGTTGAGTTTTGTAAAAAGAAAAAAATAAGAAACTGATTGATTATCACACCTTTTATTGTGCAATCATATAACCTCACTGAGTTCTGTAGCGCTATTTAGAGTTTACCTGCTGCAGCAAGCTCCTAAATATCGATCAATAAATGAAACTGTAGAAATGTGTCTGAGGAAACTCTCTCGCCGACCGACCCAAGCGAGAAACACTTCAGTGATCGAGGAGGCGAACAGGAATCTCTTTCAAGTGTGCGACGGTCGATGCGCCTCTTTTGTTTCGATTTTCCAAATTTATTTTTGCACATTTCTCCGTGTAGTCTGTGGCGTTGTAGTCTTATAGTATGCCTCATATGCTAATTTTAAAGCAACAAACATATACGAGGGTTGCTTTTTATACCTCAGGATTAGAGAACAAAAACAAATATTAATCATCGAAAATCACTTTATTGTTTTTCAACATTAGTGCGAAGGAACAAGCGTAACACGGAATACATTTGAAACTAGAACAAGCAGTGATAAGAAAACTAGACACAGGTGTTTTGAAGCATCCCAGGTATAATAGTGTGTATGGAAGTAATCCAATTAAGATAAGTTTAAATGATACGAGAAAAAGAAAGAAGGAAACGTACAAAGAAGAAGGATATGATATGAGAGTAAAGAAAGAGTAGTCAGAGGTTATCTTAAAATGTAATTGAGAGAGAAAGAAGAAGAAGTGCAAAGAAGATTCTTCTTGTAATGAAATTGATGATAGTGATAGTTGAGTAGGCACGAAAAGATATAAGCTATATAGTAGAAAGCTAATATGTAAACTTCAATAGTCACACAAAAGATAGACGTGTTTAGAAAGTTTCAAAGTTAGAGGATAATTGAGAGAATAAGCAGTGTGTAACTAAACTGGAAACAGAACGATTAATATGTGATAGTTTAGCTGAGAGCAAAGAAGTCATGAGTAAGTAAGGAAACGCAAAGAAGACAAGAGAAAAACATTGAAGTACAATTGGCTGAGTATTAAGATTGTATTAGAAAGAAGGGATAGAAGTAGAACGTAAGTGTAACAACACGAGAGTGAAAATGGATAAGTATGAGTGAACTTGATATAGAAGAATAATGTAGAGAGTAAATATCTTCAAGTCAGATAGTGCGAAATCTCCGTCTTTCGTTGGTAATGTGTAGAATACTCACTTCAGAGTGAGAATTGCTCTCTCAGAGCCGTGATACAGGACTGTATGCAGCTACTAGCGTACAACTGAGATCACCAAAAATGTTACGAAGGTCTATACCAACTGGACATAACTGCATTTATTGGAAGCAGTGGATCCTCATCATTCTTTATTATCTTGTGACGAAAAACTGTCATCCGTAGATTGCATAAGATGCAACTAGCGTTCGAATCTTTATGAGTGCGAAAATAACCATCTTCTTGAATTCTCCCGAGTGTTTTCGTCTATCACTAGGTAAGCCACAGACTCTCAGATCGCACGAATGCAGTATGCAGGAATTGTAAGTAGAATTAGGCACGCCTGTATTTTATATCCCTCTCTTATGCCTCGTGTGAGCTAGAATGTAACAAGAGACATCATCTGGTGCAGTCATAAAATCTTTTGTGAAAGTTTTCTGCGGATCACTGAGGCTACGTATTCCAAGCTCATTAGATAAGAAGCATACAATTCAAATTTATCGTACATTACTCGGCTTTGTGAGCCCAACTCCTCTCAATCCTCCTGGTCCAGTTAAGATTGGATCTATTTAGATAATGGCAGTGCGGTGTGCTCAGTAGAACTACGAATTGCTGCAGTCCTATTTTCGCTGTTTGCGCATAGAATGCTTACTAGATGTATGATTATTATGTTCTATCTCGTGAAATCCTTGTTATTTCTGAATACATGATAAGATAAACTATCAATTTCAATGTTCCCTATTGCACTGAGTATGAAAACATGCTACATTTATTTCGTATTTCAGATATTTAAACCATCTCAGCTGTTATTATAAATGTGTCTCATAATATTACTTGATTTGTATCTTGACATAAATAATTGTGCTCAATATATTCAATAAATAACTTGCGGATCTCACGTATTGGAGAGGCTATAGCAAGAGTTTGCTGTGTAAAATGTTGTATATTGCCTTCCAATAAAGTTAAATATGTTTGGACCATATTGAGTGATGTGAAGATACAGAACAAGCATGGGCTCCCAGTATAGAAATGAGCGTATTATAAAATTGAACTAATATACTATGGAATTAGTTATTATAAATTGAGTGAAGAAAGAAACAAATAGTCCATAAACATCAACTAAACTCAGGTATACAATATTCGAACAATAACATATATAATGAAATATATGTAGGCTCATTAATGATATGTATTAAAGTAATCTAATCTCAATTGTAAATTTAATTCACTATGTGAACATTTTCTACAATGCATGAGAATTTATTTTCTCAAAGAATTTTAGTCTAGAGCGTTCTAATCTCTTTTTATATTTATGCCGCATCTCACTCTCAGAAATTATTATTATAGGTAAATACGTCAATTTACTTAGAAAAAGATGATATGAGTACACCAAGAATAATTGTCATAGTTTTCTCAGTATGATAAGCTCTACTAAAAACAGTAACAAATAAATAAGATATAAACCTGAAATTAGAATTATCACACTTTTTAATATGATGACAGATCAAATATAATCATACCTCTCACTTAGCCAGCTTAAGCCCTGTGTTCAGCATAACTTTACGTTAGCGACGTTATACCTTTCATGTCCCTCGAGCAAGCCTCCTATTAAGTGAATCGATCCAAGTATAAAGTGTAAATCTCTGTCGAAATGTGTAATGTAAGAGAAGATAGCTCTTCTCGCCGACCGTACATCGAAGAAAACACATACAGTGATCGAGGAGGCGTTAACAGGATATTTTTTTCAAGTGTGCGACGGTCGATGCGCTCTCTTGTTTCGATTTTCCAAATTTATTTTTGCACAAGCTTTATACATCTCAGTTAGTCATGTGGACGTCAGTTTAGCTTTACTTTGATAATTCGTCATATGTGAGCCTACAACCTTAAAGAGGCAAACCAAATTTCTTAGATGTCGTTGCTCTGAACACTCCAGGAAATATATACAGAGCAGAAAACTATAAAACAATTATATGTTAATCATTTTCGATAAACACATCACATTACTATATGTGTTTTTTCAAAAATATATCTCCGCTCATATGATATGACTCATGTACACTTTTACATGTGGTCATTGAACCAATTGTCAAAAGCACAATCTTTAGCCTCGCTTCGTCTGAGTTGTGATACTATCTACCAAACAACACATGTGACGACTTCTTGCGCGTGCTCAATGGTCTATACCAGCTTCTTTCCGACTTGCTGCTCTCGGTGATAATATAACTCGTTATGACCTCTCAGTTTGTTTTTTTACATACAGATAATAGGAGAAAACAAGTCATATCCCTCCCTCCTCCCGGGTACTCTTATGTTCCAATTGAACTATAACGGCGGATGAACTTATTCACGCCTAACAATCAGCTAATATGATGATTCGTAATTAGTAGAGCTCCTCACTACCACATAGTTTCATGTTGTTCGAGTAGAGCTCACCGAATATTCGTGTAGAGCTCTGCCCATTGTCGCGGTGAAGCTGCATCCCCAGTTCTCTCTGAAGCCTCACGGTTCTCTGCTCTGCATAGATATCTCTTGGAGACCAGTGATCTGCCAGCATTTCATCAGGACCAGATAGAGATATCTAAAACCATCTACGAATATGACGACCCAAACCCGTCAGTGTCATACTGCGCGTTGCTTCTTAGTCCAGATAAGCCGTGCGCTCTGCGACTTAATGTCCAGTTTCTATACTCCGCCGCTCATATACAGGCAGCCGCCGACCTCTCTCGTCTTCGGACCATGCTGCTGTCACGCCGACGAACTATTCTCTTTGGCCGCGGATCATTCGTCCCTCTTCTCTACTCGATCCCCACCCCTTACCAGCCTCCAGTGCTGATCTCCTTTCCGCGCTGCTTCCGACCACGCATAAGCACTCCTCTCACACTACACTGTCCAAGCTGATCGGCGTATGTCCATTACACCGCGCGCTTCAACGTCGGCAAACACGAGCTCGTATTTGTATATGAGACACTATCTCATTGCTCCCGGACACTAGACTCCGGAGCGCAAGAGCGTCTATCTGAGGAGCGAAAGGTACTGTCACCTCAGTTGCGTCGCTCCGCAAAGCGGTGGAAGATGTTTGGTGTGGGACAACGCTCGAAGGCATTGTTTGCTTGCGCAAAGTGTATCATGTCAAGAATGCGGAGTAAGATGCTGCCCCTCTAGCATGCTAAGGTTGTTGCTCAATCTCACGATAGGTCACATGACGATCTTGCAATATCAGTTCATGCCACAGCATCATGGTTTTCGGAAACAACAACTGATTTTGACGACCTTCCGCGAAATTCGTCTTGGATGTGAACTGACGACACATTGGAATTCACCTACCATCGAGTAAAAACTGGTTCTTTGATGGAGCTTTCATCCTACAAAATTGCAAATTAAGTTCAGTCATGCCGTATTGCTGAGTTAATCCACGTCAGAAAGTTGTAAAAAAAATAATCGCACGAAAATGTTTACGATTTAATTCCATTTTGGGCAAAGATGAATATTTTTAAGTTACTGTAACAACAAATAGCGCGCGTAGTGTCA